GGTACTTGGACCCTTAGGGCATTCAAGTATGTCCAATGCAGGGTCTAGTCAAGAACAACAGCAGTTTTAGGACCTTCAAGAGTGTGGATTTAGGGTTCCTAGGGGTTAGAGTTTAGAGCTTGGGAAGTTAGGGGTCCAGGGTTTTCAGCTGTTGACATTTCTTGGAGCTCATTCGCAAAGGATATTCTCATGGGCTCCGGAACTCCCTGAATTGAATTGGCAAGTTGTGTTCTGACTTCCCAGGAGATGGCATCCTCAACCCCAAGCCCTGTTCTTCGAACATGTGCAACTACTAAACCCTCAATCCCTTAATCCATACATATCTTCAGAAACTCCCAGTTTCCCTTTCATGGTCGATTTGGTTCTCCGTGAAGATTACAGCCGCTTAACCCTAGACCCAAAGTCTTGAGTGCTACGTACAAGGCAAGCAGGCAAGGGCTGCGCATGACTGGGGGCATCTGGCTCGAAAAATCATGCCGATCTACACCAATTATGTTGTACTTCAAGTCATCCGGGTACATTGTGAAACGCTGGTGCACTCCATAATTTGTGCATGCCCGGGCCTATCTGTCATGAGTAGCTCATGACTTGGTTCTCAACCTAGCTAGACATATAAATGAATGACTATATATGTACATATATGTATATATAAAGATACATAAGATACCTTTTTCTGGTGTGCTTGAGGTACATTACTCTGTGACTCCTTGATGATGCAGGGGCTGGAGGGGGAAAAAACGGCGTCCATACTTCTTCGGGTTTCGTCTGCTCCAGGATCTTCGATCTCACTGGGGTCGAAGCTCCTTTCATTACCTGTCGACTCTGTGATGTCTAGGAGTGATGGGTGTGTAAAGGGGTCCCTGCAGAGTGGTAGAGCAACGATTCTTACAAGAGCGCACGGTCCAAAGTCAACAATTCTTGTATTTAAAGAAATTCGTTTTTGCATATTAAGGAGCACCATACATCGCTGAGGGATCCCATGCCCTCATCCATAAACCTGGCCCTCAACAGACGTCGTTCGGTTCTGAAATCCACAAATCTGCAGTTTAAACTGCCCTGCTTAACCTTAGCAGTAGCTTGGCCACATGCAAAACGAACGTCTGCGTAATATACACCAGAATACTATTCAAGGCAGGACCTTCATCTTTTTTGAAGGGCATAAGGACATGGACCCAAGCTTGCGGGCAGGTGTCATCGACATGTTGGAGAGCCCAGTGTCCCCCAGGAAGTACAACAAAATTAGACCACCTAGGTTCAGGCTTCAGGGCTTCCAGGTTTGGTTGAGGCTTAGTGCGGTTTCTGTTTAGGGTTAGTTTAGGGTTCAGAGTTGCAGCAAAACGACTCTACCTCGCCTTGTAACTCTGGCAAACGGCGGCTCTGCTGTTGGTGGGGAATGCAATGGCTGCGGTATGGAAAATCAAAGAGCACCACTAGACCCGAAACTCTAAAGCCTAAAGCATGGAAAACGTGAACCCGCAACCCTCCAACTCTAAGCCAGAAAAGCCTAAGCCCTAAAAGGCTAAGTAAACCCTAAAACCCTGAACTCTGAACTCTGAACCTTAACAGTTCAGTTCAGATATGAGGTCAGGCCTTAGGACACATCTAGCCACCTCAGCGGCAGGAATTTTTCTGGAAAGAGAGATGCGAGCTCAGGGTTCTAGAGCTTCCTCTTAGTGTTCTAGGGTTTAAGGTTCCCCCAACCCGGAAGCCACCTTCTTGAGGTTCTGTCCTGCATTGTTAGGATATAGAACGCTCAAGACATTGGTTCCGCAGTGTCCAGGTAGAGATAACAATAGCAGCCGAGTATTTGGGGTCGAGGAATAGGGTGCAGGGCTAGGGCTCGGGAAAACAGGTTTTGACAAAGGCTCTCAGCGTATCGCATGCGCATACGCATGCTCAAAGGCTAGCGGCTAGCTTGGCTCCAGAAATACGTATCCGTTTGTGGCGGGCTCTGTGCTAATCAGGGTTCTGGCATTTTGCAGAAATGACAGTCAGGGTTCAAGTATTCTGCTTTGTAAATACCAAGCATGGATTGTTCAAATCAAGTTCCGTCCTACGCGCGCCGAGTGATTAAGGCTTCTGTGGGCCACCAACGGCATGTAGGATTCAGCCTTCAGGCTTCAGATTGCGAGTACCCCATAACGCATTCGATGATGAGAAGGAGCCTGTAAGAAACTTAACCTGCATTGCTTTGATAAAAAGGCAAGCGTTGCGGTTAAGAACCCATTGGCCTAAGCTAGGGTGTAGTCTAGGTTTCAGGACTTACCCGATCTTTCTTGAATGAACAAGTTTCACTGTAGCCTTTCTGAGGCAAGCTGCACATGAAGGCGTAGACCTTGATGGCCCTGAAGTGTCTCCTGGCAGAAAGCGGCTCTAGGAATTGGGGCCTCTTAAGGATGCGGTCAGGCACTTACGTTGCATCTTAGTAGCTGGACTTGGCTTGTAGTCTCCCTCTAGGTTGGAACAACTAAAGGGGCCTAAGTAATTACCAAGATCATTTTGAGGTCCATTTGATGTACCATATACTATATAGTCATACAAGGAACATGGAACATTATAGTTGTAATTCTTTTGGCCCCTATACTACTCTTCCAGAATTTGGGAATCTTGCCTCCGCCGGTGTTTCCCCATCAATAGGGAAGCCAGAGCAGCAGCAATCATGTTGTCCACAATCTAAGCGCCGTGGGGCTTTGGGGTGCACGGTGTTGCGTTCTAAGACCTCTGTGATTGAAGGTTTATGGAGTCGAGTGGTCTGGATTTGAATTTAGGATTCAGGGCGAAGGGTTTAGGGAGGTTTATGTAGCAGGCTTCCTTCATCTGCAATAAGCCCGCAACCATATTCTTGGCTTCACATGATTCTGCCAAGCATGGCATCATGCGTGTCCAAAAACCAAGATCCTGCTGCCTGGGCCGCACTTGCCTGAATGCTCCAAGGGGCGGTGAGAACCAAGCAATCACAGATTGTCAGGTTCTTCAGCCCTATGAAGCCAAGCACCTTCAGTGTGGATCCATAACACTTGTGATGATTGAAGGGTTAAGCGGTTTAAGGTTTAGGGTTAAAGGTCTGTGGCTTGGCAGGTCGGCAGTTGGGGCCTGAGGGGGTCTGGGGAAGGATGTAGGGTGCGGCTTTGGAGTTGATGGTTCAGATGTGCAAATTTTGGGATTGTTCTGCTAGGAAAGGATGGCTGCAGCGCAGGAGGTATGGAAGTATAACCCCGAACCCTAAACCCTAAATGGTAGTTTCAGTTTTCTTTTCCATTTCCCAATCAATCCCCAATAATCGGAGTCAAAAATGGGAGTCAACACTGCAGGTAGTTGAGGAAGGGGAGAGGTCTAATGC